AAGGTAACAAATGATAGTGACAAATTTAATATATGATTGAGTTTCCAACAAGTATTTTTTAGGTGTTAAAATGATGCATATCTATATTTCATATATAGATATTCTTTACACATGATTTTTAAAAGTATCAATATGTTTAGATAAGAAGAAGTTCAAAAAAAGAAAGTTGCTCCAATCTTTTACTTGTTTATTTTTTTAAAGAAAAACTAGTTAAAGAAATAAAAGGATTATGAGCACTGCTCCCCCCAATTTTTCTTAAAATTTTCATTTCTCGAAATTAAGAAAAATAGTGGAGAAAAAGTTCTCAAAACTTTTATTGGTAAATTTTATATTTATATTTAATTGTCTCGCTTGTCTTCATACTAAATAAATGATTCGCCTGAGTTATTTATAAATAATTATTTTTCTTAGTTGAATTATAAAGCTAAACCAAAAAAATATTATTCAAATATTCACAGTGTTTCATTTGACTTACTATTATTTTATTTTGATGGTCAGCAACTACTTCAAAGCAAATTAAGGAAATCATACAAGCTGAGGGGCTCACTAGCGAGCAAGTGAAGAGTCATCACCAGGTTGATTTAAATATTAGTTTTTTTATATTATTTTTATTTTTAAATTTTAATAGTTAAATATAATTTTTTAATTATAGAGATATCGCCTTCATCATGACCACGTTAGACAATTTTGTCACCACGATGTGATACAATCAAACTTCACTGATGACGACGATGATGATGATAATGATGCGAATCAACATGTAGTGAAAGCTTTCGAGGAAAACTAGAAGATGGACACATTCTCACCCAGTTGTGAATGTGGAAGTAAGGAGGATTCTGAGAGAAATCTACCAACAGTTTTTAAGTTAATAAATTAGTGACCATATATATATATATATACATATGGTGCATACTTAGGTCCTGTAATATACCCATTTGATTATCCTCATTCTTCTTGTTGGTAAATCTATTTAACCCAATGGTGTTATATCCTATTGATGATTCAAAATAAAATAATTAATACATAAATTGATAATGTATTTAGTTTACTTATTGAGTAGGCTTGTAAAGGTACTTTGAGATTGTTGATTGGGAATAAAATTTAAAAAAAATGAAAAAACTTATATTTGGTTAGCCTATAAAATGAAGAAATAGGAAAAAGAATATAATATATGAAACTGACCATAAAGCTTAATAAGATTGAATTATTTCTTCATATAAATTATATATATAATTGTAATACTGTTTATTTATATTCAAAAGCTCTAAATAATAAAAAAGAGCAAAATTATATATTATTTTTTAAACGATATATCTTTTTTTTACTTTTAGAAAAAAGTGTGTTTATGAAATGAGATATTATGCATTCAATGAGATTCTGTTGAAGATTTTATAATTCTTTAATTTTTTAAATAAAAATTATTTTTGATAACAAAATAAAAATATAATAACATATAAATATACAACAGAAGACAAAAGTAATGGTTAAGTCTTGACCAGTACTTGATAGTCTATGTGGCATGAATATTCGAATGGCAAAAATAGATGTTTCCTCGTTTTCCACAAATTTATTTCTGCATCACCTTGGTTACCTTTCTTGATTTCGACAAAAACATAAGAAAGAAAAGTTGAATTAAACTACAACTCTTTTGTTTTTTCTCTTCATCAAAAGAAAGGAGATTAAAAAAAAATTGTCCACATCATTTTCTTATTTTCTTACAAAAATTATGTGTGCTAATTTGTAACTAATTTTCTAATTGGGTTTACAGTAAACCAATCTTAGTTATTTAGGTTTATTTAGAATTTATACACCAATATGCGAGCGAGCAAACGTGTGTGTATGTGTGTATCTGAGTGTGAAAGAGAGGGAGAGAGAGATTTTCAAATTAAAAAACTAAAAAATTGTGACTCAAATTTTAACGGCGAAAAACCAATGACCTCACATGTGAAGATAATGAAAATCTAATTTGGACGTTATTAATAATGTTCACACACATTTAATTCAGATATATCTAGTATATAAAGAAAGTATAATATACTTTTTAGGATGATTTGACCTAATTTTACGTTTTTTACCTTTTAAATAATAAATACATATAAGATTTTGATTGTGAGGCCCAGATATACAAGTAACGTGTAAAATTTATAATTAGAATAAGGACATAAAATGTGGGCTTGGGGGTTGGTCAAATAACTGAAGGGCATTAAAAAAAAGAACCTTATCAAGATATGAATATGTAACTGTAGGTTTCAAGTCTGACTCAGCTATTGGAGAACCGTAAGTTGTAGTGAAATTCCTAAAAAGTCCCTCAATTGTGTTGGGAAGAATATGTGACATGGTGTTTGATAATGATGTAAATATATATTTTTATTACATTTGTTGACTCAACAAATACTTATTTTGTGATTTTTAATTTTTTCAATATGATTCCATCATGTAATGAGTTTTTATTAAAAAATTTAAAAATTTATCTCAAAATTTAAAATTTTAAGACTTTAAAGTAACTTTTTTGTTGATTAGAAAAAATATATAAAAAATACACGTGATATATCATTTTATAATGTAATTTGTCACTTAGTAATTTCTTTTCATATTCTCGCCTTCTACTTTTTGTTCCTCCTCACATCGCTCTCCTTATATAACTGTGCAAAATGCCTCCTTCTCATACCATATTCATTCCATTTACATAGATTTTTGAGGTGAGAGACTGATAGGGAAAAACAATAGCTAAAGAGAGTTTGGTTAGTTTGAGATATGAGAGAAAAACAAATAGAAGAGGAGATGGAGTCTAAAGGGCTAGAACTTAGCTTGACTCTAAATTCAACATATTTTCCAAAAACTGTAGATGATTTGGTGAAGGTTTTAAAAAATATTGAGAGTGACAATGATAAGGCACCAATATTGCTTGATTACCTTCTCGACCATGAGAAAGATGTCAACAATGTCAAGAAAGCTATACAAGGACAACTTCCTCACTGCGTGCAACTTCTTCAAAATGGTAATTAGGATCTTACTATGATTTCATTAAACTGTTTGCTCTTCTCACACACATATGCATATATATATATATATATTAACAAAAGTTTTATTCTCATATACTAACAAAGTTTTAATGATTTATTTATTTTTTTATTATGTTCTATAGTTATTCATGATATGTTTTCGAAGAAAAAGATTGCACTCCAAGAGTTTATTTTACCACCAAATATGTTTGGTCATCTTGATCAGAAGCCAATAATCTCTAAAAAATCTACCAAAGAAGAGAATGATTCAATCGCCGCCCATTCTGCTGAATTGTTTTACGAATTTATCATTGATGATAACGACGATGATAAGAAGGGGAAAGTATTGATTAATTCTACTAATCCGGTATACCATTAAGATTCAAATTATTATAAAATTTTTTTTACATTTCTTTAGTTTTATAAATCTTACCCTCATTTATTATATCTTTGGTAAAGTTTTAGTACTAATTGCATATGGTTATGCATCTATTATAAAATTAAAGGTGCAACAATACAAAGGGAATGATAAGAAGAGGCCATTTATGACGTTTAATACAGTTCCAAGTGCATTTAATTGGGAAAATGAGGACAACGAGGAGGTCATTCCTGAAGTACCAGAGCTAAAATTATTTCTTGGTAAACAAGATTTTAACCCCCATATACCCGAATTAAGGTTAAGTCTTAATAAGCAGGCTTCATCAATCCCAATTATGGAGGTAGGTCATGAAAAACAAGTTACTTGGTCGCATATGCTAGAGAAAAGACATGGTAAGCAGGTTGTCAAACTCGAAGTGCCCGCTACAGATTATTCTAAACAAGTGTTGGGAGCTCAACAAAGGGATGCAAAAGTCCCTAAAATTGAACCATTTGCTTTTCGTGGATTAAACTTGAAAAGTGACTTTGAAACTCTGAATCACTTCCCCATGCCATTGACTCAACCCATTTTGAAGAATAAGAGGAGATCTTGGTCATCTGAGCTCCATGGGAGATTTGTTCAGGCTCTAGATCTACTAGGTGGTGATGAAGGTAACAAATTGATAGTCACAAATTTAATATATGATTTGAGTTTCCACCAAGAATTTCTTAGGTGTTAAAATTTATGCATATATGTATATTTTCAGATATACTTATTTCTTTACACATGATTTTTAAAAGTATAATATGTTTAGATCGGAAGAAGTTCAATCTTTTACTTTTTTATTTTCTTTAAAGGAAAATTAGTAAAAATAAAAATAAAAAGATTATGAGCACCCCTCCCCCAATTTTCCTCAATCTTTTCATTTCTCGAAATTTAGAAAAATAGTGGAGAAAACGTTTTTGAAATATTTATTGATAAATTTAATATTTATATTTAATTGTCTTGTTTATCCTCTTACTAAATAAATGATTCTCTTGATTTTTTATAAGTAATTTTTTTTTTTTTTGGGTTGAACTATAAAGTTAAACCAGATACTATTATACAAATATTAATGATATTTCATTTGACCTACTATTATTTTACTCTGATGGGCAGTGGCTACTCCTAAGCAAATTAAGGAAATAATGCAGGTTGAGGGGCTTACTAGTGAGCAAGTGAAGAGTCATCTCCAGGTTGATTTAAATATTAGCTTTTTCTATATGATTTTTATTTCTAAATTTCAATAGTTAAATATAATTTTTTAATTGTAGAGATATCGCCTTCGTCAAGACTATATTAGACAATACTGTCACCAAGATGTTATACAATCAAACTTCCCTGATGATGACGATGATGATAATAATGACGTGAATCAAAATGTAGCGAAAGCTTTCAAGGAAAACAAGATGATGGATACATTCTCACCCAGTTGTGAATGTGGAAGTAAAAGAGGATTCTGAGAGAAATCTATCAAGAATTTTAAGTTAATAAATAAGTGACCATATATATATATCTATATATATATGTGTGTGGCAAATATTTAGTGTTGCATTTTCTTTGAAAGTTTTTAGACTTTGGCTTACTTCGGGTTTATGTCTTGCTTTGGTTTGTTATCTTTATAATTAGCATGTCAGTTATGTTCTTAGACTTCTATCGATATCGATATTTATGTGACATTGACTTTTAGTTCTATCAGAATATTAAGAATGTTAAGTTTTTTTATGTTATGATGATTATTGTCTACTCTGATTATATACTTGATTTCTATATGATTTTTAGATTTTGATCTTTATATGTTAAAAGTCCGAATATAATTATTTAATATTTTAAAAATTATCTAAATTAATTTTTGTATATACAAAATTTATGTTCAATTAAATTGAAAATTTGGTTTTACATTCAAATAAGGAAAGTTCAAGAATTTTTATAAAATAAATTTTCAACAAAAAACTAGTGTGTTTACATGTGAAAACAATAAAAATCAAATTTGAACACTTGTAGTTCACATATTTAATTGAGATATATATACTGTACGAAGAAAGCGTATACGACCTCAATCATAAGTTACTTTGCATATTTTTAAAATAAAGAAGAAACATCAATACTTAAGATTTTTTTTACCTTAAATGTCAAGTATGCTAATAACTGATAAAAATTCAAACAATTACAAGCATTAAAAAACTTACCTTATTAAGACATGCATATATAACAATAGGTTTCAAATCTGACTTAGCCACTGAGGAATCTTAAATTACAGAAAGATTCTAAAGAACTACTTATTATATTCAAAAGTATGAAAAAGTATTAGCTAATTTTTATCTGTTCGGTCAAAAAATTTTAAAATTGACATAACTGACCAAACTTTTATGACCGATTAAATTGATTGATCAATGTACAAAAGACATCAAATTGCTCGATCTTAATAGAAGAAACCGAAAAATAATTTTTTCTCACGCTTCATATAATTAAATTTCATATAGAATATAATAACAATATAACAATACTAATGTTTTTGTACTTATTTTAAATTTAAGCAAAAAGACTTAATTTTCTTCGCAACTAATGATATTAGAATTATTATTATTATTATTATTAGTATTATTATGTGAGAGAGAAAAAGGTGAAAAAGGCAAAAAAAAAAAAAAAAAAAAAAGAGAGAAAAAACAAAATTATAATTCTCATTATCATAGAAATCCATTTTATCTAAAACCCATATATAACAAAAACCCAATTTGTAATTTTTTTAAACTCAAACCTAAATAAAAATAAAAAACCCAAGATTCGGCCCAAAAGCCCCAAACCAGTGTTGGCCCGAATTCAACTCCAGCCCAATTCTCTCTCATCAAATATTACCGTTTCAACTTCTTCTAGGTCCTTCTCTCACAAAAACGAAAGAACTCGTCTGGGAGGGAAGGGACGCAGAACGCGTTGGAAGTTCGAGAGCTGTATCGCACACAGAGTGAGTTCTTCTTCTTCTCTTCTGGGTTTTAGTAGGAATCTTTCAGACGAAAAAAAGGTAAAAGGGAAGGGATTGGACTAGTGTTTGGTATCTAGAAAACTAGAGAGGGTCAACAATTGGACACCGCCAGTTAAAATTTGCTTAAGGTTTAAGCTTTCCCTTTTGTGTAATTCGCAATACTTCAATGGGTCTCGATCTTGTTTGTTAATCACAACAATTGTTTTTTTTTTCTTTTTCCTTTTTGTTCACTCTGCTTTAATATAGTAATTCATGTTATGTGATCAGGTTCAGTATGTGTTGAATTTAAGGTTTAATGAGTAGTTCGGTATTCTTTTAACTCGTTGAATTTTGCTTTCTCTGTTTCGTTGTTGCGATTCAAAGATGGTCTAACTTATGTCAATAAAAGGATGCAAGTAATTCACTGGAAATGATGTCGCCACAGTCAAAATGCATGTCCAGCCTTGATGAATTTTTTATTGCTTCCTTTAATTGTTAATGTATGCTATAGTTAAATATAATAATTAGGGTTAGGGTTCCATTCTAATATTTTTGGAACAATGGTATGCTTGTTTGTGATTTAATTGCTTTAAGTGTGGGTTTGTTGTTAATGAATGAAGAGGGTGTTTTGAAATGGATATTTCCTTTGCTGTTCAAAAGTTAGTAATTTCCAGTCTAATGTCCATAAATGTTGTTGATGAATAAATATGATGTCTCGAAATTAGGTATTTTGTTTAGTGCTTGAGCTGAGAAGATTAGCTTGTGTTTAAAATAATGTGTGAACACACGGGTTTACATTAGAAAATATGAATGTGCTTGTAATACCTCTTGTTTGAGGAATTTTTTTTTTGCCCCGAGTTGAAATCAAAATCAAAATCAGAAGATAAGAACAACATAAATGAATAAAGAGCGTTTTTAGCTTGTTGGGTGCGGTTAACCAAGGGGACCAACTATGAATCTCGTCAAGAGTATGGAAGAATTAAGCATTTGGGAAGTCCTGTGTGACTTAAATTTGTACTTTGGAATTTTTATTTGTATGTCACTCGTCCAATTGTTTGTAAATATTTTAATTAATGGATAAATAAATGGTCAAATCACACACTTTCATCACTAGTAGAATTCTAATTTTGCATGCAAATCATACCAATTAATTAGTTTGCATCGTGAGGTACACCTTCCTATTCTGTATCGTCCCTTAGTCTAAATGTCTTTATTAGACCAATGTGATTTTGTTAGCTGACTGTCCCTCTTCTAATAGAATCAGTGGCAATTTTAAAATCTTTGAAGCTAATGATTTATTTTTTATTGAGTTATCTTTTTGCCACGTGGCACGCAGGTTGTGACAACTGCACACTCATCATGGACAATTTTGTCAATCACTACAGTGTTCTGGGGTTACCCTCCGGTGATGAAGGAGCAAAGCTTAGCGAAAAGGAAATTTCCAAAGCATACAAATTGAAAGCTTTGGAACTTCACCCAGATAAGCGGCCAGATGATCCAAATGCCCAAGCTAACTTCCAAAACTTGAAGACATCATACGAGGTTCTCAAGGACGAAAATGCTCGTAAATTGTTTGATGAATTTCTTAAGGCCAAGCAAGAGAAGATTCGCCAACAATCTGTGCAAGGTACCAAGCGGCAAAAGATGATGGTGGATCTTGAGAAGAGAGAGCAGGCGGCATGTGCACCAGACTTGGATGCGCAAGCACGGAAGGAGGAGGAGAGGATCGCCAAGAAGTTGAGAGGTGAGATTAATAGTGTACGGGAAAGGCACAGACCCAGAGCTGCTACCACCAAGTCTGAGGCAGAGGGAGTGAA